AGCCTTTTCCCCATGATATTTAAAAAAGAAAAGCACTCTTTCCTCTCCCTCCTTTCCCTCTCTCTGTTTTTATCCCTCTGTCTCTTTCTCTCCATCTCTGTCTCTCTGTCTGTGTTTCTCTCTTTCATTGCATGTGTGTGTGTGTGTTTAGGCTTAGGAGTCACCATTATTTAAAGGGCCATGTGGGAAAATCAGCTCTCTTGCTTAGTTCTCTTGAAATCTCAGGGGCACATTCAGCAGGGCTGGAAATTTTTATTCCTTATAATGAATTTTTTTAACCAATAAATATTAACCAAGTTCTAACTGATTGGAGTTTTGTAGATCAATGGGTGAGGGTGCATGCTAAATAATGAGGAATTCAATTTATAATGTTTAAGTGTCCAGTGCATATTAACATAAAATGATATATGCTGCAAAAAAAAAAAAAAAGCAATGTTCCTCCTTCCTAAGTAGCTTACAATCTAGTATCTTCTTCAAAGCAACAAAAGTAGATGGTTTAACCCTATTTGAGGAAAAAGAATCAAAGCTGTGAAGCAAGAAGTATAAATACCAGTAAGTTATCCACATAGGAGGATAAACTGTACATATTTATGACTAATGGCAGCAGTCTCCTCATCTTTGTTTAGATTCCAACTCATACAGTCATGGAAATTATTGCTGTTAGATATATAAAAATATTGCATCAGATCTAATGCGTGCTGATTGGGGGAAACTCATTCTAAATGGGACCATAATACGAAACTTTGTGACAGGGTCTATAAGTTTCTCAGATTTGGCATGGTAATATGAGGGTCTATGGCCTGAAGTACTCTATAGAATTATATAATAATTTTACCAAAAAAGAGAGAATTAAGAAATTAACAGAGAATTGTCTTTATGACATTTTTTAATGTTTTATCGCTGGTCAGACTTTTTAACTGTAAATAATAAACCGAGAAAGAAAACTGTAAATGACAAATGTTCCTCCACATAGAACTCATGAAAACGAACACTTTTGTGAAGTGGTTCTAAGAAGAAGGAGAACATGGCAAAGGCTTACCTATGCTACATCAACTTCAAACACTGAAGAGCCAAAAAGGAAGTCAAAAATTGTTTAGGTTAATTTGGTCATTTAAAAATAACTGAAAGGCAAAAAAAGCTGAACTGTCTTTCAGGATCAAGCTGCTGGTTGAAAATCTAGGTTTTAAAACAGTTCTTCTGTCAGCCCATCCTGTGTTCCTGTATTAATACTAGCAGAGCCCTTTTATCATTGTTGTGCTGCAGACAAGGTGCCTTAGTTAGTGTGACTCAGGCACCAAACTCCATGACTATATGAAAGATCTTACCATCTCCACTTCTATATAGTCAAAATTCACTTCCCCTAGTCCCCTTTCCACCCCATCTCCACTAGCAAATACTTTAAAGCTTTCTTAGTACTATTTTGCTTAAATAAGAAAATCATTAGAGATAAGTCTACTCTTTAACAACTTAATTTTATAAGTTATGTAATTAGAAAGTCAAATCAAGAACTTTACAAGTCTAATACAAACTGTGTCTTCTAGTGTGCCTTGTTTGTTTTCCCATGTAACTCAGGTACTTATATATCTTTGTTATGGAATTGTAAATTCTACCCCATCGCTTCCTTTTTTTTCTCTTCTTCTACCCTGAATTCCCCAGATTCCCACCATACACATTCAACCTGCAAGGGTATGGAAGGGGTCTAGAGGAAAGTGTTTTTCTTCTTAGTTTTACTACGAGAAGTGAATTTCCTGATTTATACCAAAATCTCTAGAGATGTAAATAGAATAGTGAAGAACTGATATGAGATATGGTATTCTCTCCCACTCAGTAAATAGTTCATAACTCACTGGAGACTGAAAAGCTCCATTTAAGACATTAATACAAAGACTTGAGAAGAACGTCAATAGCTCACTTTGCCTACAGATTAAAGAAATAGCACATGGGTATAGAATGGATTAATTCCAAAGTTGCTGAGTTTAGATAAATAAATAAATAGAACAAAAGATAAAAGTACACAGGCCAAAGTCACACATATACATATTCTATATCTGCACAATGCACCTTTATATTTTGAACAGAAACACTTTATGAATAGCACTTAGTTGTATTTTTATAAGGTTTTAAAAAATCTAGTCTTTAAACATTTGACTTTAATTTAGTCTGATCTTTCTCTAATATAAGATGATTACAAGAAAAATATCTGTTGCAAATATCCTAGGTTCAGAGTGGTCCTCCAGAGGTTTACTGGACTAAAGACATTTAGAAGTATCTTTAGAACTAAGTGGGCTGTCACCACCAAACTGTCACCTCCATGAAAGGAGAAAAGCCATAATCAATCATCTTTCACTGTACAACATATATTTAAAATGCAGAATGCAGACGCTCCCATAAATTTCATGTCAGTAGTTTTTGTCATATTACAATTTATATGTAACAAACAAATACCCTGGTAGTCTGGAATAATTAATATGGCTTCCAAGACTTGTGCCTTACAGGGTTTATGGCACAGCTATGGAGAAGTAAAGATCTATTTTTCAGTATGATCTCTCTTCTCTTTTTCCTTAAGTAATATGTTCGCTTGATTTTAAAGTAATGTTTCTCTTTCTCCTTGAAATTTGTACTTAATAAGTAACACAAAATGGCACTTCCTTTTTGTGTATAAAAAGTTATAATGTTCACATAAGTCAATCCTTAAACTTTGTCTTATAAATATAGTATAGATGATTTTGGTGATAACCTGAGTCAAGCTGTATTTAACACGAACTTAATATCCCACTCAAATTTATTTTTAAAAATTGGCATTTAGTGAATCAAATATATTATAGTTTATGAACACAGTAAAGTAAAGAACTAAAGGTTTAGTTCAGGTTGAAAACAAATGTGAGGAGGTCCCTTTGATAATACATTAAATATTTTAAAAGCACTAACAACTCAGGTGCTTTTATAATGTATGGTTGATTTATTAAAAGCTGTCTGGGTAGACCCTTCAAAACACTATTTAGCACATACTGCGTAATATTATATCTTTCATAAAAACAAAAAATAATCCCATTTCATTTGATCATAGTTTGAGAAGCACCTGTGCCTCTTTGGTTTAATTCTTCATTCTGTGTCAGTGGACTTGATATTTTGAAACATAATTCTCAATTAAATTGTATTTTATTTATCTGTGTGTATAAACAGAGCCAAAGGGATGTCTCTCCTTCTCCTTTCCCTATTATTGACTGCCTCTTGCAAGAGAAAACTGCTAATAATTTAGAAGTTATGAATTTGTAAGCCTTTGAATTTCTGTATTATTCATTAATCTGATTATCATGCTATGTATGTCACTGCTTAAATGTACAACATGGCAGGGCTAGAAAAAAAGAGTAAGGTATTTTACTTTAACACCAATTTGTCGATTAATGCCTTCTTAGTAAAACCACAGCCTATTACTTATGAGCAAAGGCTGTGGAATCGAAGTGGATTTAAATTCTGGACCCATTGTTTACTGCATAGGTGACCTTGAAGACTTCCTCATTTGTGAAATAGGACAATGATAGTACCTTCCTCATAGCGCATGTCGCAGGATTATCTAAGACAAGGCATATAAGGCACTAACATATTGCCTGTCACTATAGCAGTCATCATTTACTAATGGTCATTTAATTTACATTATCATTTAAACATCAGTTCTATAGTTTTACATATTCATATTACCACACGTTTTAACTGTACGATATGTCTCAATTTTATTCATAAATACACTTAATATATAGTTTGATACATATTACCGTAATACAGTACACATATATATACCCAAGAATGCACAAATGTGATTATGAAGTTTTCCTACTGAATCCATATATCTATTGTTTTAACAACTTTATGAGTAGTTATATATTTAGGAAGTCAAACTAAACAAGAGCTTCACACTGTCTTCTAGTGTTTCTTGTTTTGGATAACACATGATCCAATAGCTAAAAGAAATTTACAGTCATGTGCAGTTTAACAAGGGGATATGTTCTGAGAAGTTAGTCACCAGGCAATTTCGTCACTGTGCAAACATCATAGAGTGCACTTACACAACCTAGATGGTGGAGCCTACTACACACCTAGGCTACATGGTGTCACCTATTGCTCCTAGGCTACAACCTGTATAGTATGTGACTGTGCTGAAAACTGTCAGTAACATGGCACAACCATATTTATGTACCTAAACGTATCTAAACATAGGAAAAGTACAGTAAAAACATGGTATAAAAGATTAAAAATGGTACACTCATATAGGGCACTAATCATGAATGAAGCCTACAGGGCTGGAAGTTGCTCTAGATGACTCAGTGAGTGAATGGCGGATGAATGTAAAGGCCTAGGACATTACTGTACACCACGGTAGACTTTATAAACAGTGTACACATAGGTTACATGACATTTTATAAATCTTTTTCAATAATAAATTAATCTAGAGTTAATGTAATTTTTTTATTTTATGAACTTTTAAATTTTCTTAACTTTTTGATATTTTTATAACAACATAGCTGAAAACACAAATATATTGTACAGCTATACAAAAATAATTTTTCCTTATTCTATAACTTTTTGTTATTTATTATCTATTTATTTATTACTTTTTTAACTTTTTGTTAAAAGCTAAGACAAAAACACCCACTTTAGCCTAGACCTATACAGAGTCAGGATCATCAGGATGTCACTAGGCAACAGGAACATTTTAGCTGCATCACAATCTTATAAGATCACTGTCATATAGGCAGTTGTCATTGGCCAAAAGACTTTATACAGCACATGGCCATACTCGTTTTGCCATATAGCTAGCACATTTATCTTTCCTGTGGAATTGTACAATCTTCCCCCATTATGCTGGACCCTCATGATTTCCCAGTGTATTTACTAAGCTTCACAAACTACTGTAAAAATGCTGATTCAGTGTTGACTTTTTATAAAATTAAAATTCATTTTCACATGAAATTAACATAAGTACTTAAAACTGAGTTACATACCTGAATTCAAAAAAGGCAGGTTCTCTTTTCCGCTCACACTTTCTGGGGCTGTATATTCACATACCAGGGCACACTAGGAATAAAATGTAAAAAACAAAATTGGAAAATAATTAAAACAAGAAATGATATTCTTTTATTTTCTTTGCAAAACATGAGGCTATGTACATGGTCTCAAAAGTTTTGAATACTTTTATAAAACTATTTCTAGCCTTATCTTTACTATGAAGAGTGTTTAACTTGTGATTTACTAAATGTATATATAATATGCTTATACAGTGATAGAGGCTACTCAGGAAAGAAATAAAAAAGAGAAAAAGGATTATCTCCAACACGCTAGAGATATGTTCCCCTAGCACAGTAAATCATATTTGACAAGCTGAATCATTTTGTATTTCTTTCAGCAGAGCTAATTTCAGATCAATAGAAAGCAAATTATTTTCAAGAGTTTAAGTAATTGCAACTTTAAATAAAAGACAAAATATGTTAAAGCCACTAGTTACATAAAGCAAAAGAATATTTGGTCTCCAGAAAAACAATGCAAACACTTGCTCAAGAAGTATGAGGACCATTTATAAATAAGCTGATCTCTGGAATCCATAATGAATTGATTCAGCTCCTGACCTTTACAGTACTGTCAATCTCTCAACAGAAAGAGAGAAGAGACATAGACATGTTCCTAGTGAATGAACCATGATGAGAGAGAATGTCCCAGACAATTTCTCACTAAATGTGATACTCTTCCTCAGTGTCTTATGAAACTGTAATGAAAAGAGGAAACAGAATTCTTTTGGTCCCAGGAATTGGACAAGATCTTTCTTCACATAGGCAGATTCTAGCATTTGTGTCTTCAAGTGAGTTCCCTTTTTTCTCTAGAAAAAATAGAGGGGTGGGGGTGGTGCCAGGGAAAAGAGGAGAATGAATTTTCAGAGCAAATATACTAGATATAAACGCGTAAATGCAAAGAAAACAAAGCAAACATACACACAAAAATTGCAGAAAGTTATTTTGGTGAAAGGTCTAAGGGAACCAGCCAACCTTCTGTAAGTTTTGCATGGCTCTGCTCAAGGGTCTCTGAGGGGTCAGACCAGCTTCTCCAAGGTTGTATCAGCCTTGGTTGAGCTATTTCCCAACTGTTCTGTCTCCCTCCACCTCTTCTTCCCCAGGCACTGGTCCCCTTTAAGAATCATGAGGCCGGGCGCGGTGGCTCAAGCCTGTAATCCCAGCACTTTGGGAGGCCGAGGTGGGTGGATCACGAGGTCAAGAGATCGAGACCATCCTGGTCAACATGGTGAAACCCCGTCTCTACTAAAAATACAAAAAATTAGCTGGGCATGGTGGTGCGTGCCTGTAATCCCAGCTACTCAGGAGGCTGAGGCAGGAGAATTGCCTGAACCCAGGAGGCGGAGGTTGCGGTGAGCCAAGATCGCGCCATTGCACTCTAGCCTGGGTAACAAGAGTGAAACTCCGTCTCAAAAAAAAAAAAAAAAGAATCATGAACACTGAGGTCACTTTTAACAATGGAATGTATACGTTCCTCAAACACTTTGAGGAAGAAGACAATTCAAAACGCTCATCTAAATGTTACTTTCTATTTTCTTATAGTCTACTGCTTATTCCACAGTCACACCATGCATCCCATTACTCAGGAAATTTCTTGATGGGGAGCAAAAGTGCTTTCATAATTTCTTTTCTGAGGTCCTAGTTGACTGAAAGAATACATGACTGAAAATAACTCTTAAAATTTGATGTTCTCTAAATCACATTTCTGACCATCCAGAAGTCAGAGGTGCACTTTTTTAATCCACAGCTAGTTTGGAAATGCACTTCCTAAATGCCTAGAATGATGCTCAATGATACTAGAAATATAAAAAAAAATGTAATTTATCCTATTTTTAACATTTCCTCTAATTCCTTTAGCTTATATATGGCTGTTAAAATAATTTTTCATAAATATTATATTCATTGTATGAGTGTTCTACTCTATAATGAATAATAACTACTTACTGTCCAGTCAAATCCAATATTCTCAGGCTAGTCTGCAGATCCTTTCATAATTTGCTCCTGACACCCTTCCACATAATAAGCAGGTATTATATATGCCTATGATCCATCCTTCTTTCCAAAAGAGGATCATCATCTACAATATAACTTACAGAAATGGTTCAGATTGAATACATTTAGTGAAAACATTCATAATTCATAAAAATCAGGCTATTATGCTGAGACATTGCTTTCCTATATGGAAGGATCCCTACCTCCTTATAATCAAAGACAACTTTATCTCTTAACAGAAGGTCTGTATCATTTTACTAAATCAGTACACAGAAATATGGCTTTCATACACTCAACTCTTCCATCCAATTTAGAAGGCAGATATTTAGGACAATTTCAACCTAATTGCATTCTTATTTTGCAATTTTATTGTAGTTTAAAAGTTTACTTACTATTCAGAATATTTTCCAGTTTTAAAATCATGGTATATAAACAGAAAATACTCAAACAGGTATTAAGTTAATTAATATATTCATATTTAGAATCAGTATTTTCTTCAATTTTGGTAACATGAATTGTATACATAGACTGATGAAGTGACATGTGTTGGCAGAAGAGAGAGAAGGAAAAAATCAGGGAGATTTTTAAGTCATTACTGTAAACAACCAGGTGACAGACAACATTGGTAGCAGTGAAGGGGCCAAAAGTTGTTAAATTCTGGTTTCATTTAGAAAATGCAGTCAACAGGATTTGCTGACATATTAACCGGGAGTTTATGAGAGGAAGAAAGGAATCAAAGCTGACTCCCCAAAAAAGAAAAAATGTTTTAGATACCTAATGCAACATTAATCTACTATATTAGTTTTGAAAAAAGACAATTTTAGTATTTATTTCATAATTTTTCTCTCAACTACTATGTGATTTTAATGTTTTATCATCTACTGCTATGTGTGCATATATTGAAGTTTGAAGCAATCTAATATGGTAAATGACCCTCTGAGCAATCTTCCCTTGATAATAAAGATGTATTCACAATATGATTTGTGGAAACAAATAAGCAAAAGAAAGTAAACATATGTGAGAAGAAAGAGTTTGGATTTTCACTTATATTTTATTCCATGCTCTGAAATTTAAGACTCAAGATTAAAATGAAGTATTTTATATAAAGGTACTGTTATGGACTGAACTGTGTCTTTCAAAGTTCATATGTTGAAGACCCAACCTCCAATATGACCATATTTGGAGACAAGGACCTTTATGGAGGTAACTAAGATTAAACGAGGTCATAAAGATAGAGCCTTAATATTACAGAGCTGATATTCTTACAAGAAAAGGAGAAGATACCAAAACACTATCTCTCCCTCTCTCACTTCCTCTCTCTCTTCCTGCTTGTGCACAGAGGACAGACCATGTGAGAATGTAGCAAGAAAGCAGTAATTGAACAGGCTGGCACATTGATCTTGGACTTTCTAGCCTCCAGAACTGTGAGAAAGTAAATTCCTGTTTTTTAATCCATACATAGTTTATGGTATTTTGTTATGGCAGCCCAAGCTGAACAATATCAGTTATCACGCTTTTATTTGTTTAAGTCTACATGAGATAACGTGTCACTTTCATGGCACATGATTATAGTGCTAATAGAAGTTTCATTCCTTTCTCCCTAGCTCATGCATACCATGAGCGATATTATTTTAGGAATAACCCCTATTTCGTTTACTTTCTCTTTCCATAAATGACAGTCATTCAGGTCTTAAATCACCATTAGTAGCAGATAATATTATTTTCTGTTGATTTTTGTTTAGCAGATTTCAAGGGTCCATGAATATGCAGTTCTAAAAAACACTCTAGGTGTTTCTAATCACAGTTTAAAAAACGCTGAGATAGTTATTTACACAATAAATGTCATGTATGTTGGGCCTTACTATTTTTCTCAAACGTGAATATTCTTAAAGATTGCCAAGGCAGCTTATTAAAAAATTGCAGAAAGGTCAAGGTTTACAAATAATCCAGACAGGGCAGCACTGTTGCCAAAGTGTTTGGTGTGTTTACCATTTTAGTCAGCGTATGACTCATACACCGTGTGTACTGCCACTGCCACCTGCTATTTCTGGAACAGCTCAGTTAAGTCTTTTTTAAGTTCATGTTCCTAAGCCAGAAACACTCTGTAGGATTTGGGTGGGGGCATTTTCCTAGGTACCAAGTTCTCCATTTATGAAAAGAGCATAATTCATTTTGCACTACCTTATCTGTAGTGACATAGTCTGGAGTTAAAGGGTGGGCTACTTTTGAGGAAAGTGGAAAAGTGGCTGGTAATATATTCAGACTCAGAAAAAGGAGCTCTACTTTGAAATGGGAAATGTTCCTGCTACTGGTCTCCTGGTACACAGTTATAAGTCTAGGCATGATTATCTGCCTATTTCTGGTCTGGGTTCCCAGTTTAGCTTCCAAATCCTCCCTCCTTGATCTTGAAGCAAGTGTTCATGTGATAGTGACAAAGATGAGTCTTATATAGAACTACAAAACAAGCAAGGATGGAATGAAGAAATACAGCCCTAAGACAGGGCCTTGAATGCACAAACCCAAAGAAAGTCTGCTCCAAGACATTACCACGGCCCTGATATTAGTAAATGACCTGATTTTAACCATGGATCTTCTTAGAATATTTTTATAATGTGGGATATATTCCAAAGGGAGGAGAGGATAATAGAGAAGAACAAGGTTTAGGGCAGCAGAGAAGACTCTAGTTTATTCTGGGAAAAAGAAAAACAAATTGAAAGAAAATATTTGATGTTTTTATAAAGCACATTCACACATCTACAACCATCTGATCTTTAACAAACCTGACAAAAACAAACAATGGGAAAAGGATTGCCTATTTAATAAATGGTGTTGGGAAAACTGGCTAGCCATATTCAGAAAGCTGAAACTGGATCCCTTCCTTACACTTTATACAGAAATTACCTCAAGATGGATTAAAAACTTAAACACAAGACCTAAAACCATAAAAACCCCAGAAGAAAACCTAGGCAATACCATTCAGGACATAGGCATGGGCAGAGACTTCATGACTGAACCACCAAA